GGATTCATAAATTACATGCATCATTTTTGTGTCGGTGGCGGTGTTTATCGGTGTATGAGAACAGTATAAACTGTTACAATTGCTATCAGCTGTATATATGGATCAGACGAAGTCGAATATACGAAAAAGAGAATCAGAATACATATAAATGAAACACAGTCAATGATTGATCGAGTGTTGAGTATGTACTCATTGCAGTTCTCTGATAAGTACATAGGTAAAGTATATTTCGCTTTAATAAAAGTAGCTAACCGGTAGTCATGTCTACTGGGACCAAGAAGTCCAATCTATATAACGGTTCTGTCCCATAGTTTTACTACCTTATTATAATATTGTATATAAAATTAATTGTTTTTTTTTACAATTACACTTTATCTTTTAATTTATTTTATAAAAAAATTATTTTTTTTCATTGATATTTTTATATCTTTTTTCAATTATTGTCATTAAATAATATTGCAGGCCTACAAACAATTAGCATTTTCCCGATTCCCGTAAAACTTAAATACTTGGATATTTCATATAATAATTTCACGCAGCTACCAAGCTTCACGGGCTGCTGTCAAAGTCTACACACCATAGAAGCTCACCATAATCAACTTTATACCTTAGCAGAATTTTTATCCGTGTATAAAATAACAGCACTACGCATATTAAATTTAAGCCATAATAACATACGATTTTTGAGTCGCCTTCCGGAGAAAATGTCCACTATAGAACAATGTCTTCTACAGAGCAATGAACTACAAACTCTTCCAGAAAACTTTTTCGCAATAACACAGAAACACCTTCGGATTTTGAATGCGTCCTGCAATAAATTGGGAATGAACTTGCATTTTGAGCAGAATGAGGTACTTCGTTCTCAGCTCGAGGAAGTATATATATCTAATAACAGTTTTAATGAAACTATTTTAAATGTGCTTGTTAATGCTAAAAAACTGCGTGTGCTCCACGCGGCTTATAATAAAATCAGTGAACTTCCAGCAGTCTGTCTTCGTAATTGGGCAGAGTTGGAGATATTGGTGCTGTCAGGAAATTTGTTACAAAACTTACCGGAAATTATTTCTACACTAACAAAGTTAAAGGTACTACGAGTGCACTCAAATTTGTTGCTTTCGACACCTACATTTTCCAAGCTGAGTAGCTTACAGGTATTGGACTTGGCGCATAATCATCTGGATCGTATTAACTTGCTAAGTATAGTGCCAAAGAATTTGAAGTACCTCGATTTGTCTTGTAACTTACAGCTGCAAGTTGATGAACAGCAAGTTAAAGTGTGTCAAAGCCAAAAGCACTGGAGCTTGGTGGATGTCTCAGGTAAGAACCGCTTGTGCCTGCCAACTACGAAATTGGAGTATTACATGGATAATAATATGTTAAAACCACCTTGGAGTTTAGGATTTTCTGAAACACCTGGCAATGTTAAACGATTATTAGTTAGTCAGCTGCGCCTATGTAATTTTAACAAGGATGAAGGTCTTTTTGGAATAATTGAAAGTGATGTATCTAGTGCTGTTGCTAACTCAGTCGCGCAAACGGTGCCAAAAATAATAGATCAGGAACGTGCTGTAAAAGAGGCTATAAATGTGTATATGAAGTTCACGTTGCTGACAGCGTTACAGAAGCTAAACAAAAGTGGTGAGCTTGGCAATATCGGTATTACGATTTGTCATATATCTCGGGAGAACGTGAAAGGTGTCAGAGACTATGTAAGACCCAATAAAACAAAAAAATACATTTTACGAGTAGCTAGTGTCGGTAATATTGGTGCTTATTTAGTCCGTAAGACCACAAATGTTTGTCTGACCAATATGACTGAAAGTCCAGCAGAGTTCGAACAAACGAACTTATTAATGAATGTGCCTAAGCTTAACAATAATAACAGCAATAATAACAATAATAATAATAAGAACAACTATCACTATCAGAAAAACTCAAATAAATTATTGCACAATTTGCCAGATCCGAAAATCACTGAAGTTCCACTAAGTAACGAAGATGAATATTTGGTTATTTGTAACGGAAACACTTGGGCCAAAATGGACATAAATCGTGTCGCACGTGAAATACGTAAAGAGGAAAATATTTTACTAGCTGCGAAACGTGTTCAAGATATAGCTCAAAGTTTTGGTGCCAATGCAAATTTAAGCGTGATAGTTTTAAGATTCCGAAATATTGGCACCGATGTGGATTACTTAATTAAGGAACTCAAACAAACCGTTCGCAAGAAACCAATTAGCACAATTGCCGCAGCCGCTGCATTGCTACCCAACGTTTGTAAACGTACATGTTGTGAACGTAATAATATCTGCCGTCATCGCATAATTGAACGACCTGCAACCCGCAGTGAGCGCTCTTCTCCAAGCGGTCAAAGTGATCAAGTCCTAAGTCCAATAAATAAAGGTGAAGATTATATATTGGCACATGCGCATGTACTTGAGGAGGAAAATGAAATGGAAGTTCTTGATGAAACAGATTCTGTTCTGTCAGAGGAGCAATTTAAATGTTGGGAATATATGTTGGAGCAAAATACACAATTACTTTTTGATAAAGAACTGAACACAATCTCAAAATCATTAACCAAAAATCAAACCAATGAACGAAAATCGAATTTGATGAACAATGTTAAAAGTAAATTTATATCCACAAGCTCACCGCAATTAATAAATAGTGAAGTTAAGAAACGGTCAGTATCACCAGGACAACTGCATCAGGAACAGCAATCACAACAACAAAACCAGCAGCAGCAAATGTCATTTCTTTCGAAACATTTTGGCAGCAGTCGATCCTTTCAAGCAGTCACATCCAGTGTCGCGTATAATTTTTTTGAATCAAAGAGTCGCAATTCTGTTACTGCTTCGCCCTACACTAAAATCAATGGTTGTGGTCCACATGCAGCCTATTTCGGTTCCTTGCAACGTTTAATGCCATACAATTTGGAATATGATTTTGCGGTAACTCAAGAACGTTCCGCACTAAATGAAGATAATGACGAAGACTACAATGTTCATGACAGCAGAATGCGAAAATATTGGGGTGTTGCAACAACGGAGTTATAATATTTATGTGTACTAAATTTATAATATTATTTATTTAAAAAGCAACAATAAAGGTTATATATTTACAATTTAATTATTATATGGTATTTTCAAGAACTCTTCAACTCTACGTACCTAGCTATTATATTTTCATAAATCTTTTTTGGGAATGACTTAGATTTCATAGATATGCTCATTTGATAACATATTTTAGTACAGACAGATATATAGTATAATACAGTTAATTTTCGAGATATCGGGCTTAGAATTGAAAATTTGTACCTAAAAAGCTCTAACCATAAGTAGACACGTCATTAGTGTATCTACCTGTTATTACTCCTTGTTTTTGTAATCGAAGTTAAATTGCGTGTACTAGTTTGCGTTAGATGGCGTGATTAATTTTTTTTTGTTGCCTCGAGGTATTTCAAGGAGTAAGCTTTGTCGGCATATAACGTCAAGAAAAAAGTTGCTCAAAACATTAGACTCTTTGTTGTCAATTCGACATAGACATATTAAATTGCATGTAACCTAAACTTACGAATAAAAACTTGTTATTTCCTATTAACACTATTTGATATATCACATAACTTTATAGAGTTAACCAATTTTGTTAAAGCTAATTCTTTAGATACGTAATCATAAGGTTGTGCTGAAGATAATCCTTGGGTGCTATTTAAAACATGTTATTTTATTATCATAGTGCAAATATTTGTTTTAATTTCGTAAAAATCACTTATATTCATTAGCTGCAGTTTGTAAACATTGTATTTACTAAGATGAGCTGTGTACCCAAAACCTGAAAGGAACCAAAGGTTGTTTTTCTGGAGAAGTCAAGCAAATGGAACTACTTATCCCTTTCGTACTATAAACTATAGCAAAAGAACTAAACTTATATGTCAAGGATGAGGTAAGCCTTAGTACGCTCTATTAACATGCTAACACATATACACAAGATTAGTTGATACACTGTAGTTATACAATAGAACTATACGTTGATTGCTAGCTTAATAGTCTTTCATTGACCACTGAGCTGCTGGGGTTTAATAAATAAAACAACATATTTTAAGTTACTCGAAAAACTCAACTAATAGCTGGTATATGTGAAACAAATGCTCTCCGCTTCAACCTTATAACTGTCCTCGAATTTATTTTAAACCTTTGTCAGGAGGGATTGAAGGCTAATTTTGTTGCAATTAAAATATCAACTCCAAACGTTAAACATAAACTCAAAACTCTGTAGTATAAATATATAAAAATCCTTTAAAGTCAAACTGTAAGTACAGATTATACACATTCAAAAATAACATTCGGGAAAGAATTCTGACTAATTGTAAAATCATAAGAATGATGCAAATGTTTTACACTAAAATGCACCACTTATGACGTCCACAAATTGGTTGATTAGATAGTACAAGGCATACCTTGGCCCGTGAGTCCAATTGTTAATTTTTCTAGCCATCAGAGATTATACATATAATTAAAAAACGGTGCTCTGCTTCCAAAAAGCAGTATAAGCAAGGTAGAAACTGGAAAATAATATTGGAAAATCCTTCTACTGACTGGTGGTAGGTGTGATAATAAATATGAAAGATTTTCCTCTCAAAAGGTCAGAAACTAGTGATAAAAGTTTATATAGAGATATAAAACATTTATCGTAATTTACATTTTTCCTTTTTTGTTTTTCGTTTCGTAATTTTTTAAATTTATTTTTTATTAATTTTTTTTAATATTTTTTTTCAAATTTTTTTTTAAAATTTTTTTCTTGCTTCATTTTATTTTTATTTTTCATTTTATTTTTCTTTTTTACTGTTTTTCATTTTTTTCTTTTTTTTTTTGATTTTCATGTAGGTGCGCTACATAGCTTCAGAAAGCTCTTTGCAGTTAGTGTTCAATTTTAATCATTATATATATTTAGCTTAGTTATCTAGATATTGGATTAACTAATATAAATTTTTACATTGCACTCAATTCATACCACATCAGTCCATTATTTGAACTCAAGTGGACTTTAGTGTACAAGACCGTTACTTCAACCCAACCTAATTTTACCTATAGGTCATTCTTCTACAAATTAGACACCTTTTTGACCGCATCATCTCCGATTTGGCTGAAATTTTTTTATGTGCTGATTTACCATCTTCATTCTTCTTATTTTAAAAGTTAAAAAATAGAGAAAGATATTAATGCAACATATTTAAATATAATCACATTTCTCTAAGATCTAGTATATTCATAAAAAAGGTACTCAGTAGAACCAATAACAAACCTAAGCATCACATTATTTTTAGCCCCTAATATTTTTAACTATTTTGATTCGTCAACTGTTAAATATTTTTTTCTTCTGATTTTTGTTTGTTCTAGCCATCCGTTATCCTATGCAGGATATCATCTGAAACTTGCCTTAATTTTCTGGAAGTTTCTTTTGGACGCAATTTTAAGTGCAGGCGATTGAAACATTGTAAGTCAAAGTCGTTAATGCATTTTATTTTTTCCAACTTTTGCCATTATTTAAATGTTCTTACTTGTTCATGGGCTTTAAAAACAGAAACTGAAAACTTGTCAAATTTACTTAACTGTATTATATTATACTATATAAATTTATACCAAATTTGATGCCAGTATCTTTTTAAGATAGGGGTACTTAAATACTCCATATCGAATTCTTTACAGTTTATTTCTTAAAACATTTCTGACCTGTGCAGAGTATTTTTATAACTGTAGCGGAATAACACCTCATCAAAGAAGGTAGGTGTAGGTGTTATGTAGGTAGCTCAGCTAGTGTGGAACTTATTAATTATTTAATT